CTTTCATTCTTTCTTTCTTTCACTCATGGAAGGAAAAATAAATAAACTTAAAAAAAAGAAAGAGCCAAGAATGGGCCAGGGCCAGCAGTTGGTGCAGAGGTTAAGGTAATAGATCTCACGTGGCTGACTGTGCAGTTCAAGTCCTGGACGCAGCAGCTTAAAACTCAATGCTGGGTGGGTGTTCATACATGCCCAAAATCTCAAGAGGAGGGGCCCGGCTGATGAAGCGGTGGTTAAGGCACTCGACTCCCGTTAAGGGAGTGGTTCAAGTCTTGGACCTGGTGCCTTGAAAAATCATACCCAGCGTTTGTACATACATGCTCAAAATCCAAAGAGGAGAATGGAAGAGAGGAGACTGAGGCATGGCAATTCCACCTGGGGGTGATTCCTCACTTTCTGTCTCTGTGCCAAGGGCATGTATCCTAGAGCAAAAATCCCTCTATGAAAAAAAAAAAAAAAAATCATGGGACCAGCAGATGGCATAATGGTTATGTCACTGGACTCCCAGGTAGTTGAACGTGGTTCAAATCCTGGACCCAATAACTTAAAACTCACACCAGGTACGTGTGGTTGCATGCTCAAAATCTCAAGAGGAGAATGGAGGAGAAGGGATTGCTGGTGGCCATCCCCCCAGGGGGTGATTTCTTGTTTTCTGGCTCTCTCTGTCTCTCTGGCAAGTGCACACATCCTATAGTAAAACTTTCTTAAAAAAAAAAAAAGAAAGAAAGAAAGAAAGAAAAATATAAAGGACCAGCAGATGGCATAATGGGTACGTTGCTGGACTCCACGTAGTCGACCGCAGTTCGAGTCCTGGACCCAGCGGCTTAACTCACGCTGGGTATGTGTGCATGCATGCCCAAGATCCCAAGAGGAGAATGGAGAAGGGGCTGCAGTGTGGTCATCCCCTCTGGGGGGATGGTGGGTGATTTCTCACTGTCTCTCTTTCTCTCTAAGGAACACACACACCCTATAACAAAAACCTTTCTTTAAAAAAAGGAAACAAAAAAATGAGAAGAGTATGAGGGCAGGTACTCAAAATCCTAACACGATACAAAGATGAGAAGAAGGGATTGTGGTGTGAATGCATCCCACTAGGGGATGCTTTCTCCCTCCCTCTTTTTTCTCTCTCTGGCATGCACGTGTGCCCTCTGGCAATAATAAGAAAACAAAAAACAGTGGCTAAAAAGAGATAATAATAAAAGAGAGGAATAATTTCATCACAAAGACACAAGTAGTAAGTGGCAAAGAATCACGTAGAACTCAAATCCAGGCTATCTTCACATACTTCTCCCCAAAACAGTTTCATAATCACTATAAGGAGTCGGCAGGTGCCATGGAAGACTCCAGTTACATTTGAGAATAATGTGCACGACGGGGCAGTATGAGCTGAAAGCCTGCCTCAGCGAGGTACTTTTCCTTGTTTAGAGACTGCTATAGGGCATGTGCACTCACTGGAGACAGATAGACAGACAGACAGAAATTATCCCCCCGGGGGGATGGCACACCACACCCCTTCTCCTCCATTTTCCTCTCAGGATTTTGGACATGCACATATACACACCCGGTGTGAGTTTTAAGCCGCCAGGTCCGGGACTTGAACCAAGGTCGACTACGTAGGAGTCTAGTGACGTAACCATTGTGCCATCTGCTGGTCCCCTTTGGGATACGTTTCGATGCTCATAGAGAAACCAGAAGGGGTAAAGTCTTGCTTCTCTACTGGGGTGTGTTTCAGTAAAGTGCCAGAATAGTTAAAGCAATAAAATAATCATGTGGTGGAGAGGAGGGCTTCTTACAAAGTCAGTTACACTAGAAAATTTTAGAAAAATGCTAAGTAACTTAAGCATCGGGTAACTGGAAATTACTTTTATATTAAAACAAACATCAATCTATGACGGCACAGAATACAGATGTACATAAAATATTAAGGTAAGCGGGACACTTTCAAAGAACCTCTTTCTCTGCATTTGCAAAATGCAGTCAGTATTACAAATTGTAATTTTTTGTTACAAGGATTAGAGATAAAAGGTTAAGCAAACTCCCTGGGCTTTAGAAAGACTGTAATAAATGACAGTTACTATTATAGCTCTCACATACCTATCGGAATGTTTATTTGACTGTTTAACCGTTCATTTGGTTTCAATTTGTGAGAACAAGATAAGGCAGGCAATGGGTATTTATAAGTCTCTAACCAACAACATAAAGAAAACAGGCCAACCAGATAAAATCGCCTAAGTAAACACCATTTATTATACTCACATATTTCATTTCAAACTTTTTAGCCAACATTTCCACTTCTTGTCTCTCCTGCTGTTCATCATTAAATGGGTCTTCTGTATGAATGTGCTTCTTCTGATTCAAAATGCATGGGAAAAAAAATAGAAATATTAGTATTACTCAAACATTATTATTGTTACATATATCAATTATTTCCATTATATTTCAATATAACTGAATATGTAACTAGATTCAATAATATACTATTATACATGTCATATAACTACTTCCATTATATTATTATTATTATTCAGAGTTTACTATATCCCCAAATTTAATGAATAATGAAAGTTAATCTTTCCCAACACTAACGACTGAGTATATACCAATAAATGAAGCAAAAAAATATTTGCAGTTTTAATGGGGTCATACACATTCTATAGTTTTTGGTGGTAAAGAACTCAACCATCGGGGCTAACAGATGGCAAGGAGGTTAAGGCAGCTGGACCCCACACGGCCAAATGCAGGGTTTGAGTCCCAGACTGGTGGCTTGAAAACCACGCCGGAGCACGTGCATGCCCAAAATCCTGAGAGGAGAATGGAAGAGAAGGGACTGAGTTGTGGCCATCCCCTCCGCTTCTTTCTGCCACTCTCTGGTGGGTGCATGTGCCCTACAGCAAAAACTAAAAATAATCCCACGATCATGCCATCCAAAATAAGGAAAAAGCCCTGCAAACATTAAGTAAAAATGAAAAACCCCTTGTAATGCTAGTTTGACATTTTCCCTAACAACGATTAACTGCTTTGATGAGGAAATGCTTCTAAAAGAATCTCCAGATTATTAATTAGAGTCAATATTTAATCATCTGCCTGTGAATTATCACTGGAGCATCTGTAGCTGCTACAGCTTTCTGCTGAGATCCAGTATCAACAAACTCCCCTTTACCTATGTCCTGTCAACCATCGTCCACTCAGAGAATGCAGGCTACTCTTAAAGTTAGAAAACTGAAACCTGCAGAGATTACACTATCGCTGCTTACCTCTAGCAGGGGGGGGGGGGGCACCGCG